GCTCCCCGGGGAAACCCAACCCCGCCCCCGCCTACCAGCGTGACCCTGCTGAACCATCCCTCCCTTTGCTGGGTCTCCCTATGCCTTCGCTTGCTTAAAGCACCTGCTGGCACTGTCCCCGCTCCACAGGGTACGAGTACAGAGCACTGGTGAGGAGCCTCTCCCTCTCCCCTGGTAGCCAGGGGGCCATGGATGGAGTGGGGGCTGCAGGGGCAGACGTGGACATCTGGGGACGGCTCTGGAGGGAGCCTCGCGCCGCGGCGCTGCAAGTGGGGGTCCTGTGTTGACCGCCCAGCTTGCCATTCCCGCTTGGAATGCCTGGCGCCCTCCAGTGTGCACCCCAAAGATGCTGACGGTGTCAGGGTCAGCCCCATCAGCAAGACACCAGAGCACCGCACAGGATTGTCCGCAAAGGCATCAAAAATAGGGCTGGGGGGGCGAGAGACAGGGCTGAGCCTTTCCTGGCAGGGTATTTCCAGGGGGGTGAGGCCATGGTGCCTCGTCATGGCCCATGTTGTAGGGGCATCAGCCAGGAGCTGGGCAGCCATGTCCTCCCCCGGGGACCCCCGCCCCACCGCTGACTCAACCCTGGCCACTTTCTTTGAAACGGTCTCGCCTGGCTTCACTCCTCCCCATCCCTGGGCAGGGGGCATGGATCCCCAGGACCCCCATGAGGAGCTGCTCTGGGGGATGCTGGCACCCGTCACCGCCCCACGCCCCGAGTGGGTGCCCTTGCGGGGTGGTGGGGCTGGGGGCAGCTGGTCCTCACACCCTGGCTTACCCACATGCCACCAGCGGTGCTGGGTGGGTGACTCAGACCAGGGGGGACATTACCTGGTGCCTTTCTGCTAAAATGAGTGCGGTTGCGACAGCCCGTGACGCACACGCCTGGGAAAAATAACGAGAACGAAATAGGAGGCAGAAATCCAGCGGCAAGAGAGGTCCAGCCATGATGGAGAGTGTCGGAGGCACCCCTCAGCTACTCCCCTGCCACATGCCCTGGTCCCTGTGCCCCCGGGCTGCACCCCAGCAAGCCCACCCCTACGGCACTGGATGTGTGGAAAGTCGCAGGAAGCTTAGGGCCGACAGCATGCGCCTGTGTGCGAAGCATGTAAACAAGTCTATTTTTAAGTGGGAGGCGGTCGGGGATGGCAAGCCACCAAGGGCCGGGCCACTCTGCCACCAGCAGGGTTTAGCAAGAGGGCTCGAAGTGTAAGTTCAAGTTTTTGCCTTTCCCTATTATTTTTAGGGGGGAAAAAAACCATCAGTTGTAAGCAGGAGGAGCTCTGCAGCAGGAGAGGTGTGGTGGGAACCTTGCAGGCTCCTCCTGCTCCAGCTCCACCTTCCCCTCCATGTGTCCCCAGGGATGGGACCCTTTTCCTGGGATGGGACCCTCTCCCTGGGACCCGCCCAGCCCCACTTTGTGACCCTCATAATGCCCTTTTCTTGTCCCCTGCCAGCAAACATGGACGCCACCAGCCCTCTGCACAGCGCGGGCTGCCAGGACCCTGCCGTGCCGGAGGGAGATGCCGCCGTGGCCCCAGCCCCATGCCCGCATCTCAACGGAGGCCTGAAGATGCCAGGGCTGCTCGAGAAAGCCGGAGCAAAGCGGAGGCCATGCTGCCGGGGCGATGCCGACGGCGACATCGTCCTGCTCTCCACCATGTACCCCCGACACGAAAAGTGCAACCATGGCTTCCCGCTGCCTGCCACCGAGCTGGGAGCCACAGCCCTCGTCACTACCAAAACCACACAGAACTGCGCCGGCGAGGAGAGAGCCTGAGGGCAGGGGGAAATGGGGCTGGAGCACTCCGGCGGCTCCCTGCGGACGCCCAGAGCCTGTCACCAGGGCAGGCAAAGCCTTGCACAGATGTGAGCTGCCTGAGGACCAGGTTTTGCCTCGAGCAAGATCAGCCTTCTAAGATGACTGCCCTTTTCCACTTTCCTGTTTGTGCTGAGTCCCACGTTACGCCTGTGAGCGCTGAAGGAAGCCGAAGCGGATCACACCGAGTTATGCCGAGTTGCCAGCAGCTGCCTTGGCTGTGCCATCAGGAGGAGGCAGAGGAGATGCGGCCGGTGAGGATGGAGCGTGGCGGGGGCTGCTGTGCCGTTTGTGAGGCTGCCGTTGCGCGAGGATGGGTTTGCTGCTGTATGGGCAATTCCTGGGGACACGGGGCTGGAATGGCAGAAAGAGGGAAGGGAAAGGAACATGGAGAGGGAAGCAGGGAGTTACATTAGGATCAAGTCCCACACCACTGCCATTAGCTCAATTTTTGCTGCTGACCTCAATAAAAGGAGGCTTGGGGCCATATGGAGCAAGGCACATCCAGCATCTGCTCTGTTCACAGTCCTGCCCCCCCCCATTTTCTGCGCGCTGTAATATCCAGGTCTCTCCTCCCTCTGGGCGCTCTCACGCGGTGGCAGGCGTCCACCAGCAGTTGTGGGAACCCCCTCTGCAGCTCGGTACCCAGGGGATGGGAAATGAGTCTGTCTTCCCAAGCAGTGATGGAGGGAGGGAAGAGGGGAAAAAAATCTGTCTTTGCTCTGACCTACAATCACTGAAGTCAGGGAGGACCAGGGGCAGGCAATGGAGACTGCTGATCTAGAGCAGCTCCATGCGCTTGTCATTACGGCCCCAGACAACTGTCACTTCAGCTCACGGTGGCTGCAGAAATACCGCGTGTCACTTGGGATGACAGGGCTCCTGGTGATGGATGTTTCCACGCCGCGCAGAACCAGGCAGGGAGTGATGCGAGCGTAGGCGGGATGACTTAATTTATGTGAGTGTCTTCGAGGCTTTGCCTGTGCGCCAGAGCTGGCCGGCAGTGCTGGTCCAAGGCATCTCTCGGTAGATGGTCTTGTTCACCCACCCGCGAGTGGCTTTACTGTGCAGGAAGGGCTCTGCTTCGGAAACAACCTCATTAGTGCAGGATTGCTGTTCCCAAGTAATTACAGCAGCCGATCCCCCTGGCTGAGCAGACCCTGGCCAACAGCTTGGGTGAGAAACCCTGCTGGCCCTGGAGGGGGTGGTTAGGCAATTAGAAGTGCCGGGGGGGCATTATTTGTATGAAATGCCATCTTGGTGGCAGCCCAGGTGAGCTCTTCCTTTGGTGAGGTGGCCTCCTTGCCCAGGAGGTTTCGAGGACTGAGGAGTGGTGGCCAAGCAAGGTGTGGGAGCACTGCTGACAAATGCCAGCGGGCCACTGAGGGCCACAGCTCGTGGTAGGATTGCCCACTGGTCCCTCTGATGACAGGGAGGTGACTCCCTGCCCAAGCCTGAGCTGCAGGACCACACGCTGCTGTTGAAGGGTGACCCTCCCTCTTCTCCCCTGCCATGGTGCTGGAGCCAGGCTCGTGGCATCCATCCCATAAGGGGAACCAGAGGAGCTGCCACAGGTGCCAAGGCCCAAATTCCTCACCGTGACTCCTCTCCCAGACCTAAACACGCTGGCAGAGGTGAGCCTTCATCTGGCTGAGGCTCCGCATGACCCAGGATGGGATGGGTCCCCATCTCAGCCTTGGGGCTGAGGATGGTGGTGGGGCTGGTCCACGTGCCCAGTGACTGTCCCTTGGGGCTCCAGGTGCCTGTGGCTCGCTGGCAGGAGCTGTGGAGGCTCCAGCACTGGGCTCCCAGTTACCCATAGAAGCCATGCTGCCCGTCACAGGAGGGACATCCCCGCAGCATGAATTGGTCATCTCCTCATCCCCATGCTCCGCACCTGGCCCTGCGAAGTGACTTTGAGCAGCCTTTGTGTATCTGGAGTGGGGAAATGAGCCGAGGCTGGGCCAGGGGACATTTTGGCACTGGAAGAAGGACTGCTCATGGGAGGCAGAGCAACCTGCTTCACGGGAGACAGGGGTGAGAGGGAAAGGGAGCAGGACTGTCAGGCTCCTCTCCCGCTTCCCGCCCAGTGACTGCAGTGGCTCAGCCCTGTGGATGCGCTGCCCACTCCGACTGCCGTGGTGGTTTGAAAAAGAAACTCCTGTACAAATCCTGTTGAAAAAGCCCCTCTTTTTGCTCAGGTAAGGGCTTCTGCTCTCATTTCTGCTAGAGCTTCAGCCAAGCGTCTCCTCTACAGGACGCCGCCAGCATCTGCAGTTCGCAGAAGCAGCATTTCAATCCACATTGGATTCCTCAGCTGTCGAGTGCCCCTCGGATCCCCTCTCTGTTATGGCATGCAGGGCATCTTCCAAGCGTCCTGCCTGCCCAGCCTGCCTGGGCCTCGGTGAGATTTGCAACTCCCCTCTGTGCACGCTTCTTCGTCCTTATGTACAGGGCAGGGGGTTGTCCATCTTGTCTGCATGGAGAGTAGAGGGAGACAAAAAATATGGTTGTAAAAATGAAAGAATAAAGTGAACTCATTGCCAATGCATGCTCAGGGGTCTGTATGGGGTCCCCATTTCCCTGGTTTCAGGGGTCTCCGACGTGGTGGTCCTGGGGGTACAGCAGGGCCTTGAGCTGGAGAGGCTCCCTCTGCTCCGGCTTCACTGGCACGTCCCCTGCACACAGCTGCCTGCTTGGCCAGGGACCAGCTGAGCCCGGCCACCTCTGTCCCCCCCATGGCCTCCCCGGGAGCTGGCTGACGGGATGGGGAGTGGGGTGAGTGGTTTTTTTTTGGGGGGGTGTTGCCTGTCTTCGACTTTCCACGGCAGTTTCTCACTTCCCCCTGCGAGGCAGGAGCTGTGCTTCCTCCCCAGCCCGCTGCCCGCCCCGCTGCCTGCACAACTGCCTAGAAAGGCTTGCAAGGCCAGGCTTCACCTGGCCACAGGGGTGCGGAGTTTTGGAGAGAGCCAGGGGAAAGTCTGAGGAAACCCCGGGGACAAGAGGGCTAAAACCCTCCTTGCCGCAAAACCACCTCAGGTGTATCCCTAGCCATTTCAACCCCCCCGACCCCCCTATGATGGAGGTCATGGGGTTATTCGAGCTCCTGCAAATCCCACCAACACTGCTGGTGGTAAAGGAAGGCAGCCTTGGTGTCCCTAGGGATGGAAGGTGGTTTTCATCCCTGGTCCTAAAGGCAGGAGCCAGCTGGCCAACAGAGTGTAGTGTCACAGGGAGGGGAGGCACGGGGGGTACCCTGGCCAAGGGTCTTCTTCTGCAGCCACCGGTCACGTCTGCCAAACCCTCCTCAATCCCACAGGCTCCCCAGCCTCCAAAGGGCTCGGCTTTCCTCTGCCAGCCTCCCTGCCTGGGTCCTTCTCCCTCACTTTCTCCTCTCCTATCGCTGGTTCACCCACCAGTTTAGTCTCCTGATAGTTCACCCACAGGCCCAGCTACTCCAGCCCAACGCACCCCCTACAGACCCAGCTTGCCCCTCCATGGGCTTTCTGTGGGTGCTGGACCCTGACAGCAGGCAGGGCAGGCAGAGTAAGGTGGGCACCGTTTTATCCCGTGCAGGAAGCAATACTCCAATGGCGAACGTCCAACAGGGACCTCCCGTCTCTGGGTACAGCCTCCGATCCCCCCACTTGCTGCAAGGAGACCAGGGCTGCGTGGCCACCCCATTACCCACTCGTGCGGCACGGACCTCATCCCGTCCCACAGGAGCCCTCCCCACCACCCGCTTCCCAGTGCCAGCCACAGCAGAGAGACACATGTGTCCCCTTGCAGTCCCCGGGGGACACCCGCGGGAGGCCATGGGTGATGATGAGAGGCCAGCAGGCCGCGGGGCGCCTGCCACGAGGTGGCACTGACACTGCACTCCGGCCTGCATGGCTGCAGCGCCGCAGGGGAGCTGCATGGGAGGGTGAATGCCCAAATGCAGCAAGGGGAGCCAGGGAGGGCCAGGCAGGCTGGTGGCCAGCCCCGCTTTGGCCCAACAGAAGGGCGTCAGCTGGGCTTGACTCTATCCAGCCAGCAGCCCATCACCATGGCCTCTGGGCTGCCCAGGAGAAATGGTCATTGGTGGCTGGACACCTGTGGGCAGAGCAGGCCAGTGATGGGACAGCCAGAGGCAGAGCGGGATGCAGCAAGCTGCTCCTCCTTCCTCCAGCAGCACTGAGCACCTCCACCATCGCCCCGCTCCCCAGAGCAGCCCATCCCCAGTGGCGTCAGGCCTCCCCAGGGACTCCCCAGGAGTCGGACCTGCCAGCCGGCACCTCCCTTCCCCATTCTCTTCCCATCAGCCTCTACCGACAAAGAGACTACCGTGCTACCTGCCAAGCTCCCCAGCTGGAAAAGGCTGCGGGCTGGGGAGAAGAGGCCGCCCGGCCCCTTGCACAAGGCTGTCAGGGGACCATGGTCTTCCTGATGCCACTCATCAGCATCCCTCCCTAATCACTACCCACTGCCTAATGACAGTAATTAGGAAGAGCGAAGCTGCCTGGGGACTGGAAGCGCTGACAGAGTTGGGGGAGCCAGATGGTGTTCGCACTTAAGGAAAGATTAAAAAAAAAAAAAGGAAAGAAAAAAAAATACCACTCGCTTTCAATCAGCCTCCCTTTCCTTCGCTTAGTGTCAGGGTTGCTTTAGTCCATGGGCACACTGGGGAGATGCTGAGAGGAGGCACTGGCCACCTTCTCCCCCCCCCATCTCCAGGTGTTTTAGGGTGCCGGGGGAGTGGTGGGAGGGGGCACGGTGCCCGCCCAGGTGCCCTGTGCGGAGGGGGTTTCCTCGCTGCCTTCGTGGGCCGATGCTCTCCCCCGGGGCCACCCCCGCTGCTCCCCGCTTTGCTGGCTGTGCTCGGCGAGCAGTTTCCCAAGGGGGATAAGGAGGGGGGACAGCCAAAAACCACCCCGAGGGGCTGCGGTGAGCAGGCAGCAGCTCCCCTGGCAGAAAGGGCTGCCCCTGTTTTCGGGAGGTGAAGGGACAGTCCCACACTTTCCCCGGTACCGCGGAGCAAGGCCACCGCCCCGGAGTTTGCAGGGGAGCACCCAAAACCCGACCTCAGGGACCAAAGCGGTTGGACAGGAACCGCGATGCCCTCAGCTTCTCCTCTCCGGCGAAACCCCACCCGCAGCCAAACTCACCCCGCTCCTTCCCCGAGCCTCGGAGCGATGCCACCTGCCTCCAGAGCCACCTGCGGGTGCACCCAGGGCCAGGCAGGGGACGCAGGGGGGGGTGAGGGAATCCCCCC